CCCCTGTGTCCAACCTGGCCTTGAACACTGTCAGGGATGGGGCAGACACAGCTTCTGGGGGCACCCTGTGCCAGCGCCTCAGCACCCTCACAGGGAAGAACTTCTTCCTCATGTCTAATTAAATCTACAATGGGGCAAGAAATCTGAGTTGCACTGGTCCTGTGGCCCCAAGAAGCCCCTGCACGGAGCAGTGATGCTGGTGCAGCAGCAGCGCTAGATGAAACAGCCAGAGCTGTCAGGGATGCTGTGGCTCAGGGCCCTTAGACTACCCAGCTCCAAGGTAGCCCAATATCTTACCTGAGCCCCAGGGGCTCCCGGACAGCAAACTTGATTTCATTTCCCAGTACTTGACTAATCTGAAATTCAAATAAAAGACACAAGATGATTGAACAGACTCTTCCCGGGCCACCAGGAGGGATTTGCCAACCCCCAAATAGATATCTAACCCCATGTGGGAGTTTATCTCTGAGAGGGCTGGAAGGAGGATGAGGACATGGGATTCACCTGTGACTCCTTGGTCCCAAAGGCTGCTAAAGGCTGCCTTGATTTCCATCAGGAGCTGTAGCCTCTACTACTCCCTTACTGGGATCAGCATGGTGCTGAGGCAGGGGCAACATGAATTCTTGTCTCCTCTTACTTACGTAAGTAGGGAAGAGTCTCCTTCCACACACTACCTGCATGTCACATCCCCATGGAGAACTGGGTGTAGGAGCACCCATCCCATTCACACTGCCCAGAGCAATGCCTGGCTGCGGCTACCCCAAACCACACAGGTGGGAAGGCTACACCAGCGACAGGGAAAGGTACTGGGGGAGCTCCTGGTTGCAGAGAGCTCTTGGAGAGCTCTGTGCTGCTCCCCATGTGCAGTCAGGAACTGGGCAATGCCCTGAGAGCATGTTCTACAGAGAGCACCTATGATAGGGCTCCCATAGGGACTCACCCATAGGTCCTCCAGCTCTGGTACTTCACTGGAACATGAGAGTTGCTTGCCTCCAACCTCTCTTCCGAGAGGCACTGCTTAAACTGCTGCTCCAGTGTGTCCAGGCTGGTGGGCACTGGTGGTGCTATGGTCCTATGGCATCAGCTCCAAGCTACCTTATGGGTGTCTCAGCAATAGATTAAAGCAGCTTGAGGGCAGAGCTCACCCCCTTACCATTTTGGTCAGCTCCTGTGTACCCAGCAGGCTCCACAACCCATCACTGCTCAAAGACAGCATTGCTTGTGCCACTTGGCCTTCACCCTCCCTTTCCAGGAGCCCCATAGAGCCCTGTTTTGCCTGCAGAAGCTAGATCCTAAAGAACCCCCCACCACCACCTCGGTTTCCCCAGGTAGAAGCTCTCTTCTCCATCATTACTGCACATGGGCTTCCCATACCTTTGAGCGATGGACCTCGCCGTCATCATCCTCCCCGCCGACCCCCAGGATCTTGCGTGTCTTCAGCCTGCTCACCAGGTCGGTCTGGCTGTGCTTCTTCATCAGCGGCGGGGGCTGCTTCGCCGCCATGGTGGGGCCCTC